CTTCATTATAGGCGTTTGTGGGGCGTTTTTAATGCTTGGCAAACACCTAGCAACTGTCGCTAAACCGCGCATGCGGCGTTTGCGGAGCATTAAAAACGCTCCGCAAACACCGGACCGACGCCTGCCAAACGCTATAGGGGCGTTTGGCAAGTGTTGGTAAAACAGTCAAGTGTGAACGAGCCCTTAGTTGGTCAACAGATTAGTTGTCCTGCATACAGAATGCTTTATTTGTTTACATATCAGAAAATACAGTCCAGCACACATACAGGTCAGTACACTGTTCATATATGTCAGTAAGCACCTGAGCCTCATGGGACATGTAGTTCTGGGCAGGAGAAGAAAGTGATTCTAAAGGCAGAAGCTTTTTACTTTACTATAGCAGCGCTCTATACTATACTTTACAGCTTACTATAGGGGCACTCTGAGGGCAGGAGCAGCCAGAAGCTGCAGTGGGGGACCCCAGAAAAGAAGAATCGGGGCTGATCTGTACAGAACTATTACACTGAGCAGATATAACAAGTTGTTTAAAAAAAAAAAAAAAAAAAAACAAACTTCTAACGTTTACAATCACTGTAAAGGGCTCTGTGCAGGAAGATCAGCATCTGAACCCAGAGAAGCTGGAGACTGATAGATTGGAGGTAAAATAAGGCATTACAATTACATTTAAAGTAAAAGTGTACCAGTATTGTGTATTAAATTTAATATCTTTATATTAACCACTTGCCTACCAGGCACTTATACCCCCTTATTTACCAGGCCAATTTTCAGCTTTCAGCGCTGCCGCACTTTGATTGACAATTGCGCGGTCATGCAACATTGTACCCATATGAAATTTTGATCATTTTTTTCTCACAAATAGAGATTTCTTTTGGTGGTATTTAATCGCCACTGGGCGCTTTACTTTTTGCGCTATAAAATTAAAAAAGTGCAAAAAATTTGAAAAAAAAAAAAAAGTTTCTTTGTTTCTATTATAAAATTTTTCAAACAGGTATTTTTTCTCCTTCACTGATGTGCGTTGATGAGGCAGCACTGATGGGCACTGATAGGCGGCACTGATGGGCACTGATAGGCACTGATGGGCACTGATAGGCAGCACTAAAGGGCACTGATAGGCAGCACTAATGAGGTGTTACGGATAGGCGGCACTAATATGTAGCACTGATAGGCGGCACTGATAGGTGACACTGATGATGGGTACTGATAGACGGCACTGACTGGCATCACTGCTGGGCACTGACTGGCACAACCCCTGGGCACTGACTGGCAGCACTGGTGGGTGGCACTGGTGGGCAGCACTGGTGGGTGGGCACAGGTGGGTGGCACTGGTGGGCACAGGTGGGTGGGCACAGGTGGGTGGCACTGCTGGGCACAGGTAGGTGGCACTTCTGGGCACAGGTGTGTGACACTGCAGAGTGGCACAGGTGGGTGCACTGCTGGGCACAGGTGGGTGCACTGCTGGGCACAGGTGGGCGGAGCTAGTGGGCGCACTGCTGAGCAAAGGTGGGCGGAACTTGCGGGTGGCATTGCTGGGCACCGATCATCAGGGCACTGATCATCAGTGCCCTGATGATCGGTGTCGATCCCCGCTCTGACAACTGCCGGTTCTCGGCAGTACTTTCCTCACGATCTGACAGCGTGAGGAAAGTGCAGCGCGAGAACCGGCACTTGCATTTCCCTGTGATCAGCTTGTCATTGGACACCGCTAATCACGTGGTAAAAGGCGGTATGATTGGCCTTTTACCACATCACGTGATCAGCTGTGTCCGTAGGACACAGCGATCACGGAGATCGCCGGGTGCGCGCCCCCTGGGGCGCACAGGAGAGCGCGTTCTGGGAGGACGTCATATGACGTCCACTCAGAACTGGCCGGCCGCAGTTTAGCCGTCATTCGGCTATCTGCGGTCGGCGACTAGTTTTAAAGTAGTACTAAAGGCTGTGACTTTTTTTCCACGGATACAGTATATACAATTTATATCCCCCCCCCATGCTTCATGTCGGAGTTTAACATACCCCGTATATTTATTATTATATATATATATGATATGTTATATATTCTTACTTTCATTGTTTCACAGTATAACTGAATCCCTTATAGTAGTGATTATCTGTTATTTTTGTACTATAAAGGGCTAATTTTTGTTATTTGACTCCATCATAACAGATTGATTTGACCCAACTAATGATTAGAAAATTGAAGGAAGGTTCTTAAAATGAAAATGTGCTAAGCAGGGACTGGTAGATTGCATCAAGCTACCTGCCTATGACAAGGGAGTCTGTCATGTATTGTATTGTATTGTATTATATTACAGTCTAGTCTGAAAATCTGTAAAACACTGTTTTTTAGGTCTTCTTCTTTTTTTATTTTTTTTTTCCTTTTGAATAAAAATTTTGATCTGAGTCTGATGATATGTACCAGGTTCAACCTCTAACTGTATATATAGCTCTTCTGTCTGTTATTCTGGATTAGATATTTTGTTCCATAGCAATATTCATGGTTATCTATATTTACCACTGCATGTGCATATTCAAGAATAAATGTTTTTTTTTTAACTTTACATATTAACTAAATTATATTCCACTCTTTTTAGAGGTTTTTATCCAATTAATCGAAACCATAATCGGCCAACTAAACGATTGTGAAAATAATCGTTAGTTGTAGCCCTACTTTTTAGTGTTATGTTTTACACATCCCTGTTTGTTTTTGCCTTTTACATGAAGTAAAAAAAAAATGGGATTATAAACAAATATAAAAAACTGATAGTTTGTGAGGCACTAGCTGGTAAGATGTATACAGTGGGGCAAAAAAGTATTGTCAGCCACCAATTGTGCAAGTTCTCCCACTTAAAAAGATGAGAGAGGCCTGTAATTGGCATCATATGTAGACCTCAACTATGAGAGACAAAATGAAAAAAAAATCCAGACAATCACATTGGCTGATTTGGAAAGAATTTATTTGCAAATTATGGTGGAAAATAAGTATTTGGTTACCTACAAACAAGCAAGATTTCTGGCTTTCACAGACCTGTACCTTCTTCTTTAAGAGGCTCCTCTGTCCTGCACTCATTACCTGTATCAATGGCACCTGTTTGAACTTGTTATCAGTATAAAAGACACCTGTCCACAACCTCAAACAGTCACACTCCAAACTCCACTATGGTGAAGACCAAAGAGCTGTTGAAGGACACCAGAAACAAAATTGTAGACCTGCACCAGGCTGGGAAGACTGAATCTGCAATAGGCAAGCAGCTTGGTGTGAACAAATCAACTGCGGGAGCAATAATTGGAAAATGGAAGACATACAAGACCACTGATAATCTCCCTCGATCTGGGGCTCCACGCAAGATCTCACCCCGTGGGGTCAAAATGATCACAAGAACTGTGAGCAAAAATCCCAGGACCACATGGGGGGACCTAGTGAATGACCTGCAGAGAGCTGGGACCAACGTAACAAAGGCTACCATCAGTAACACACTACGCCGCCAGGGACTCAGATCCTGCAGTGCCAGATGTGTCCCCCTGCTTAAGCCAGTACATGTCCGGGCCCGTCTGAAGTTTGCTAGAGAGCATTTAGATGATCCAGAAGAGGATTGGGAGAATGTCTGTCATATGGTCAGATGAAACCAAAAAAGAACTGTTTGGTAGAAACACAACTCGTCGTGTTTGGAGGAGAGAAAATGCTGAGTTGCATCCAAAGAACACCATACCTACTGTGAAGCATGGGGGTGGCAACATCATGCTTTGGGGCTGTTGCTCCGCAAAGGGACCAGGACAACTGATCCATGTACAGGACAGAATAAATGGGGCCATGTATCGTGAGATTTTGAGTGCAAACCTCCTTCCATCAGCAAGGGCATTGAAGATGAAACGTGGCTGGGTCTTCCAACATGACAATGATCCCAAACATACCGCCCGGGCAACGAAGGAGTGGCTTCGTAAGAATCATTTCAAGGTCTTGGAGTGGCCTAGCCAGTCTCCAGATCTCAACCCCATAGAAAACCTTTGGAGGGAGTTGACAGTTCGTGTTGCCCAGCGACAGCCACAAAACATCACTGCTCTAGAGGAGATCTGCATGGAGGAATGGGCCAACATACCAGCAACAGTGTGTGCCAACCTTGTGAAGACTTACAGGAAAAGTTTGACCTCTGTCATTGCCAACAAAGGATATATAACAAAGTATTAAGATGAACTTTTCATATTGACCAAATACTTATTTTCCACCATAATTTGCAAATTCTTTCCAAATCAGCCAATGTGATTGTCTGTCTGGATTGTTTTTCTCATTTTGTCTCTCATAGTTGAGGTCTACCTATGATGCCAATTACAGGCCTCTCTCATCTTTTTAAGTGGGAGAACTTGCACAATTGGTGGCTGACTAAATACTTTTTTGCCCCACTGTATGTATCAACCAGGTTTCTTACCTACACATGAAGAGCTTCAGGGTTTAGGACTGATGTAGAGAAAATAAATAATTTGAATATTTTTGTTTTTTCCTCACTTCCTGTTCTGTGACACCTGTGCCAGAAATGGGAAGAACACTTGTCCTCATTATAGGATGAAGCAGACTTCAATTTAAACATTGTCAGAAGTTGTAACCTCCACACTAAAATTTTTGTTTTCCTTTTCTTTTATTTCTTGTCCTGAAACGATGTGAAATGAGATCTCCCTATGCCTATGTTTTTGTTTTTTTTTACTGTGTTGGCTGTAATTATGTATTTTAATGATTAATGTTGGAATATGTAACTGTTTTTCGCATGGAATAAATGAAACAGATGTATTCTTTGAATGTTTGAGAATGGACTGGTGTAAACTATTATTTTGTTAATCAGGCAGACAGTTTCTTAGACTGGGGCTGCCCAGTTGGCAGACTTCCAGCTTCACTATTGGCCTACAGCCTCAATGAGAAATTTCATAGCTAGGGTTTTAGATGATATGAAATACTAAAGTTTGGTTCTCAGCCTTGATGTTTTGCTTTTCTGACTCAAGTTTATTTTTCTTTTTAGACATTTGTCTTCGTGTGGCATTCTTATGACTAGAACACCAAAAAGGATTTTGCAGGATGTTGGCGACCCTTGTATCCAGCACTGTCGGGGCTTTCTGGGATTTGCTGGACCATTCTCTAATAAGAGAAAGGAGTATTCAGAGAGAAGAATAATTGGGTAAAAAATCAATATATTTCAACTTTGGAAATTAAATATCCAGCTCTTTTGTTGTCTGCTTATTTGTAACTTTTTATTGTGTTTAAATAATTGTTTTATTTTTGAGTAAATATAAAGTAATAATTTGGCTGCAAATATGGTTGCTGCCCTCTTAAATCAAACCTGTGCTTTGTTTATGCAAAGCAAAAGGTTCAACTAAATACCATCCGTCTTCCTGTCTTCCGCTTGCTATGGGGGCACTGGTGCCTGCTCGCTCTCAAGCCCAGCTCTATGTGTCCATAAGACACAAAGAGCTGCTGCTCGACCCTGCTCTCTCCTCATTGGCTCACTGGCTGTGATTGACAGGAGTGGGAGCCAGGCTCCTGTGCTGAGCCAGGAGGAGGCAGGGTCCCAGGGCAGTCAAGGCTATCTTTCACATTGCTGGATCAAGAGGGGACTCAAGTGAGTATAAAGGGGGGGGGGGGGGGCTGAGGCAGGGAGATGCACGCAGAAGGTTTTCTACCTTCATGCATAGTAGAGTGCATGAAGGTAAAAAACATTCTGCCTTTGCAACCACTTTAGGTAGACCTCTTGCTTAGGCAAAGCTATAGGTTCACCTGTGTGACAAAATTTTATTTAAAGTGGTAATAACCCCAAAAGTAAATGTTTATTGTATTTCCGCTATTCAATTCTTAGATGTGATGGCCACATTAGTTTTCTTTTTTGGGCCTTATTTCTTCTATTTTGATCTGGTGATCCTGCCAGTAAGTATGTTGTTTTTCAAAAAGACAAGCTCTCCTGCAGAATGTGTCGGTTACAATGATCAGCTTTTATTTATGTAAGACTCCGAAAGGAGAAAAACTTTGCTGTAACTGCTTATAAAATGTTAGCTGGAGTTTGGCTTCAATTTAATGTATTTAAATCTGCTAGTACATATAACACTCCCCTCTCCCAGACTGACAGTGCTGCTGCATAAAGGTGCACACTCATTCATCCAGAGTGGGGGCACTCTAAGGCACTCCACAGATCATGCAATTTTCTTTCCTTCCTCCAAGGGTGGAAAGAAAAAAAAAATTACTTGATTCCCCTATCAACACAGTAAGTGTTGATGGGGGAATCCCTCCCTCAGTGCTATTATGTTCTGCTGGAGGGGAGCCTTTCCTGCCGGCAGAAAACAATGATTTGTGTTTCCAGTTATACCCAGGGCACTAATTGTTTGGGAACCAACAGGTTGGTTGTACACAAGATAATTGATTGATTTGTGTACAAGCAGGGTGTCTATACATGAATCAAAATTTGTTCGGTCCCTACTGAACTGGCTGAATTTCGATTCATGTCTGGCTGGTTTAATACAGGAGGTGTGTTAATAACCAGGTGAAAACAGAGGGGGGAAAAAAGGCTAAAAATTAAAACTAATGCAGTCACCACATCGAATGATTGGTAAGCTGCAATATATTACATTTTTGGTTTTGGGTTTATTACCGCTTTAATTCTAATGATGAAAAATCATTGCAGTTTTGCTTTCCAATCTGTCACTTTACTGTCAGCAGCCCCGCTTAACCTTACATAGGTATCAGCTAATTTAAAGAGTTTCACCTTGGACCCCGCCCCATTATTTATTGCTCCTCTTTTTCTTTTGCTGAGATGGCCACAGTGAAAATACCCACACAGGATCCAGCATTTTCCTACTGAGAGCCTCTTCTCAGCAGCCACTGCTTGGTCCCGCGCCGTCATGTTCATCTGTGATGTCATTGGTAGGCTGTGTCGGCTCTTACAGGTTCTAGCGAAGCCTAGCATAGCGAGCAGAAGTTTGGTTTTAACCACCTCCCTCCCGCCCTATAGTACAATGACGGGCGCAAGGTGGCTCTCTCGTTCTGATAGGACGTCATATGACGTCCTAACATTCTCACTGCGCATGCACGGCTCAGGGAGCGCGCAGCGCGGCAAACGCCGGTGCACTGTGTCCCTCGGAGACAGCGGATCACGGAAAGAGCAGAAGATGTCGGCTCGGTCATGTGATCTGCTGTGTCCAATCACAGCTGATCACATGTAAACACGGAAATGCCAGTTATCGACATTTCTATCCTCTCGAGCTGTCACGCTGACAGCTCGAGATGAGAGCTGGTAATCTGCTTTCCGCGGGAGGGGGACATGTACACTGATCATCAGGGCACTGATGATCAATGTGGCCCCAGAAGTGCCACCTGTCAGTGCTCATCAGTGCCCATCAATGCCACATATCAGTGCATACCAGTGCACATCAATGCCACAGATCAGCGCCCATCTGAGCTGCCTTTCAATGTCACCCATCAGTGCCACCTATCAATGCCAATCAGTGCCACCTATCAGTGTGCGTCAGTGCCAGTCAGTGTCGCCTATCAGTCAGTGTCGCCAGTCAGTGCCGCCTATCCGTGCCATATATCAGTGCCATGTATCAGTGCTGCCTTTCAGTGCCCATCAGTGCAACCTACCAGTGCCTCCTCATCAGTGCCACCTATCAGTGTCCATCAGTGCAGCCTATCAGTGCCCATCACTGCAGCCTCATTAGCGCACATCGGTGAAGAAGAAAAATCACATATATACAAAATTGTATAACAAAAACTAAGAAAAAACTTTTTTTTTTCAAAATTTTCAGTGGTTTTTGGTTTGTTTAAGAAAAAATAAAAATCCCAGAGGTGATTAAATACCACCAAAATAAAGCTCTATCTGTCTCAAAAAAATGATAAAAATTTCATATGGGTACAGTGTTGCATGACCTCGCAATTGTCATTCAAAGTGTGTCAGCGCTGAAAGCTGGAAATTGGCCTGGACAGGAAGGGGGTATAAGTGATCTGTAGGCTAGTGGTTAGAGAAAAAGAAGCCATAAACAAAATTTTAAAAAAAGAACATGATAGTTGTGTAGCGGAGAGTGGGTGGGATGCAAAGTAGCTAAGTCACTGAAATGGGTGAAGATCTGCTTTAATGCATAAGTAAAACCAGTACAAAAAATTTGAATGTTTCTTTATTAAGTGTAGGGGCTTGGATTTTTGACCCCTTCCCGCTTCCTCCTGGCGGCCCTTTAAGTAGATCCAAATGCCAGGAGGTGTTGCAATTACGTGAATGGCTCTAAAATTGATCTTGATGCTGATCACAAACAGTGACTGAGACCTGTGAACAGTTCAGCCAGTGTACAGTATTGGCACACCACCCCGAACGCCCCATTGATTTAAGGAGTCACATATAAGCATTATGGTGATGAGAAAAGGTTAATTAACAAAAAAAAAACTTCTCTCATCCACATGGGCCTTGTGCATTTAATCTTAATTGATATTAGATTTGAAAGCAAACATACTTTCCAGAACAATTTCTCTTTCCTTTTGAATGTATCTGCATTTACACACACACATACATGCTATTTGGTGAGTTTAGAATATCTAAAGTTCCCATTTTCTGAACGCTGCTAAATTGAATGCCCTTAAGTAAAACAAAGGCTACATTATCACATTTAAAATCACTACATGCATTTTATACACATTTAGAAGTTCATTTGAAACAGAAAATGAAAGGACCTTTAAAATCTATTTTACTGACTAAATTTTAGAGGGGGGAGGGTTATGTTTGTTGGCACTGATAAGCTTGTAAATGTTCTACTAATCAGCTGATGTCCGCATTATGTGTGGGGAAAAATATGTATTTTTTTCCTGACTACACTTGTCTGCTGCAGTTTTTGTTCTGTCACCTTAAGTCATGTTGAGGTCTCGCACACCACCTAACTGCTCTGGTGCTGTCATCTCAGCAATGATTATCAGAATTTATCTGGATTCATCCTGCGTTTGAATTCAAGTGATGTACATGATATGGAACCCCTTTTTATATGTCTTTTCTGTGTCGCTGTTCAAAAGTGCAGCTGTCCTTCTCCCTCTTGCAAATATAGTTTTAATCTGTTATGAAATAATTGAAGATAATTCACAATCTGTCTGTTCAGCAACCTCTAACTTGGTGTATGCAGGTAGCATGTTGTTTTTGACTTATTTGAGTTACTGTTGCCTTTCTATCATCTTAAACCAGTCTGCCCATTCTCCACTGACCTCTGACATCAACAAGGCATTTTCGTCCATGCAACTGCTGCTCACTGGATTTTGTTCTTTTTCGGACCATTCTCTGCAAACACTAGAGATGGTTGTGTGTGAAAATCCCAGTAGATCAGCAGTTTTTGAAATACTCAGACCAGCCTGTCTGGCACCAACAACCATGCCACGTTCAAAGTAACCTAAATCCTGCTCTTCCCCATTCTGATGCTCGGTTTGAACTTAAGCAAATCGACTTTACCTCATCTACATGCCTAAATACATTGAGTTGCTGCCATGTGATTGGCTGATTAGCAGTTTGTGTTACCAAGCAATTGAACAGGTGTACCTAATAAAGTGGACAGGCTGTATGCGTATGTATATATGTATGTATACAGTTAGGTCCATATATATTTGGACACAGGCACAATTGCAGTTTTTTTTCAGGTATTTACCAAAACATATTAAAGCTATAGTTTTATATAATGGATATGGGCTGAAAGTGCACACTCTCGGATTTAATTTGAGGGTATGTACATTCAAATTGGAGGAAGGGTTTAGGAATTGCAGCTCTCAAGAGTAGCCACCCCCCTTTTTCAAGGGTTATAATCATAAATAAAATGTTCATTTTTAATATTTTGCTGAGAATCCTTTGCTGGCAATGACTGCCTGAAGTCTGGAACCCAATGGACATTACCAAAGACTGGGTTTCCTCCTTTCTGATGCTTTGCCAGACTCTAACTGCAGCTGTCTTCAGTGGGTCTTTGTGCCTTTAGTTTTGCCTTCAGCAAGTGAAATGCATGCTCAATTGGTTTGAGATCAGGTGATTGACTCAGCCATTGCAGAATATTCCACTTCTTTTCCTTCAAAAGCCCCTGGGTTGCTTTTGCAGTGCGTTTTGGATCATCGTCCAACTGTACTGTGAAGCACCGTCCAATCAACTTGGCTGCATTTGGCTGAATCTGGGCTGACAGTATATCTCTAAACATGATGTCACATCATCAATAAACACCAATGACCCAGTGCCACTGGAAGCCATGCCTGCCAATGCCATCACACTGTCTCCACCATGTTTGACAGATGACGTTGTGTGCTTTGGATCATGAGCTGTTCCAAACCTTCTCCACTCTTTTTTTTCTTGCCGTCATTCTAATACAGATCTTAGTTTCATCCATCCAAAGAATGCTTTTCCAGAACTGGTCTGGCTTTTTTAGATGTTTTTTGGCAAAGTATAATCTGTTTTTTCTATTCTTCAGGCTTATGAATGGTTTGCACCTTGTGGTGAACCCTCTGTAGTTACTCTCGTGAAGTCTTCTCTTGATTGTAGACTTTGACAATGATACACCCACCTCCTGGAGAGTGTCCTTCACTTGTCTGGATGTTGTGAGTGGGCTTTTCTTTACCATAGAGAGGATCCTGCGAACATCCACCACTGTTGTCCGTGGACGTCCATGCCTTTTTATGTTGCTGAACTCACCAGTGCGTTCTTCTTTCTTCAGAATGTACCAAACTGTTGATTTTGCCTCTCCTAATGTTGCTGCTATTTTTCCAATGGATTTTGTTTAGTTTTGAAGCCTTACAATGGCCTATTTCACTTGCATGGACAGCTCCTTTGAACGCATGATGTAGGTTCACAGCAATAGATTCCAAATGCAAATACCACACTTAGAATCAACTCCAGACCTTTTACCTGCTTAATTGATGAAGAAATATGGAGTAGCCCACACCTGGCCATGAAACAACTTTTAATTCAACTGTCCAATTACTTTTGGTTTCTTGAAAAAGGGGGGATGGGTACTCTTAAGAGCTGTGACAAGGAAATCTGGTGGCATCTGTCAAAGTGTGTGTGTGTGTGTGTTTGGGGGAGTTCTATTGCTTTATTAGACAAACTGGATAATGAAAATATGCGCCTGAACTTTCATTTATTTTCAGCTACTCCATGCAAGAGATGTACGAAGTGGTATCCAATGTGGAAGAGTACAAACAATTTGTTCCGTGGTGTAAAAAGTCCACTGTCGTCTCCAAGCGCACAGGATATGCAAAAGCACAGCTGGAGGTTGGATTTCCACCCATCTTGGAGAGATACACATCTATCCTCACACTGGTGCGCCCTCATCTAGTAAAAGTAAGTGAATTCATAATGTATACATCACTGTCCATTGACAGAGCAAAATTTACAACAAGGGTGACTAATCCCATTCATGCATTTATTTGAGTAGGTCTTGAGATATACTACATTTTATCCACAAAGTTTGTGAGGTTAGAGTAGATACCACGTGTTGCTCAATTAGAAAACATAGTCTGATAAAGTAATTAGTAAGTAGTCTGAAGCTTGTTGTTTTTAGCATTATTCCTTGAAAATCTGTTGCCAGCAGAAGTTGAGACATCTTTCACACATAGACTATGTTTGTTTTTTTTTTTTTTGTGTGTTTTTTTTTTTTTTTTCTTCTATAATTTCCACATGCAATAGTATGTTCTGATTTGTGAGGAGCCATACACCCAAATGGATGTGTGCTATGAGATCAATGAAAGGCACTCACCAATAGATCATTCCGCCTGTACAAATAGCCAAAAACATCCACAACTCGGGGTTCCACATTTTGGCAACTTGTGGTGGACAGCCATACCCCAAGGTTTAAAATACTTTGTTATTCTAAACAGATAATATTGTTGGGTGTGTACAATGTATATTGATCCATTTATTTCTCTCAATTCAGTAGTCAGAGGTAATACAAGTTCGCTTAGGCACAGTTGTTTTCAATATTTGGTTTGTTGCAAATAATTACATGCACAGAAACACATGCAGTATTAAATTTGCCCACACATGTATAGATTATCAACAGATTAGGCTCATATAAGACCTTTTTCTAACAAAATTCTGCATGTGTGATGAACCAAAAAGAAATTGATACTGTGGAATAAGGAGTGCATTGGCACCCAGCATCCCTGTCAAATAATGCTGTCGCCATGAATGGCCAAGTCTGTTGAATATTGGGCTGCTAATTGTAAAGAAGCCTTAGATGGCATAATCTGCCAGTGTATTGGCAACTATAAACACCGCAATGACGGTGGGCATGTGTACAAGTATGTTTGTTTTATACTATAACATGTAAGCTATCACTGTTTTATACTATAACATGTAAGCTATCACTGTTTTATACTATAACATGTAAGCTATCACTGTTTTATACTATAACATGTAAGCTATCACTGTTGGGCTAATTGCCTGGTTATGATGCTGATCCAGTGGCTTCAATACTTTTTCAGCCACTGGCCGGGTGTAAATATGCAGATCAAATCTTCTCATTTCACTAGATGTCTTTTTGCCCTTGGTCAGAGACCAGACTAAAAAAGTTGAAATTAAATATTCTCCTTGACAGCCAGTTGAGTAGCTTTTTTTTTTCAAAAGGGGTTAATAATGGCATCCTGTATATTTGTTAGTGTTTTATATCCCTTTAGCACATGTGGTAACATGCTGTATATGGATATTAAAACATACACAGCCACAATGAAATGCAAATTAATATTAAAACTATTTTTTTACCGTAAATGTAACAATGCACTTATTCCCTTAGTGCATTCTCTTAAGCATAAATTGTATGTTTTTATATGTATATCGGATGCTATTGGGTTAATGTGTGGCCTGTATTTTCAGACAGTTTATATATGTTTTGCACCTCTGTAGACTAAGGTTACCAGATTTTTAAAGTGATATCCAGGGATGCCCTGCTGACCCCACACCCACAAAACAACCACACCTGATTTATAGTCAGACTCAAATCCACGCCCCCATATGTAACCTGCTTTCCATTAATCTGTCACAGACTTTTGGAACAAGAGGCAAGCATTCAAAGTATAAAGAATATAAATGCCTTGGGCACTATGAGTAGAGAAATTATGTAGTGTGCCATGGCAAATTGGGTGAGACCAGATTGCGATAACAGTGGGAGGGATTTAAAACGGTATGGGTAAATAAATTCTTACCCTACTCTGCACCAAGAGTAAGTAACACACAGTGTGCAGGGATCAGGACTGTGTAATAGTCAGGAGTGTGTCATGCCCAGGGTGCAGGGATCATAAGTAAGTAAAGCACAGACCTTAGGATGAAAGGTCAAGATCTGAGTACAGCTGAATCTAAAAAGATAGATATCTGGAGGTGATTTAAGTGCATGCTTTGTTGTTGTTGTTGTTGTTATTATTATTATTATACAGTATTTATAAAGCGCCAATAGTTCGCTCAGTGCTGTACATTACAAAGGGGGACAGAACATGTGACAGAACAATACCAATACAATGCAAAACATGTTCATGTTATAAATGTATAGTTTCATATAGCTCCCTAGAATCGGACCCCGAGGTAACTTATTCTTGATATTACAGTATAGGACATAAGCTGAATATTTATTCATAGACCCTGGGTTATAGGCTGCTAGGTACAGGTGATTGGACACTATCAAAGTTTTTGGACACACCCCCTTTGGGTGAACACCTATACCCTTACCCCACTCTATGGTACTTCGGTTTTTTTGCTAGCGTCCTTTTAGGTGATTGACTAGTTCTCCCTCGTGGAGAATTTCATTTGTTTTAACTAGTTCTTATTTACTTTAAATTCTTCAATCTACCCTTTAATAAACATCTTCACTGCCTTCTACTACAGCAACAGAAGTGGAGCAACTTTGGTAACTGAATACTGTGTGGGCACTCATTTTAGCACTCAGTTTCAGGGTGCTGTACAGGTCCTGGATTATGGACAATTCCTATAGTTTCCAGACTCTGATGTCCCCTCCAGGGGTATGCCCACCATGGCTGGCAAAGCCAGGTCCCATACAGGGACTAGTGATTTTAAGACAGGTTCATCCTGTTATCAGACTAATGTAGCCCTATAGCAAGTATGAGACTTCATTTCTCCACTACTTGCAGTACACTTGTTAACTGTTTTTTACGATTAAAACTATCAGGAAACAGAAGTGTGTTTGACTTTACGCACTTGGGTGTTTTAAACGTTCAAACTTGATGGTAAAAAATCCACCATTCAGAGCTTAGTCTCAGGTGGATGACTAGGTGTTACAGTACACCTCAGGATGCCCTATTACCACCAACTTCTGCTCAGAGCCCTTATAAGGTACTCGGGCACTTCATCCCGCCTTTTTGCCTTGAGGACTTTGCTACAGGACAGTCGACACCTGGGTTGCTGCATTATACATCTCTGGACAGGCCTGCCCCATTTCATCACCGTACTTGAGGAATACCCTTTGATCGCATTGGTGGAAACCAAGCACAAGGGAATCTTGTCAAGAGCTTAGGCAAACAGTTGCTCTGCCAATGGGTTGCAAAGCACTCAACTTGGAGTGACATTGCTTCGCCTTCACCAGAGCAGGACCCTATGTTAACATCAGTCTTTGCATCTAATTCTAGCTCTAGCTTGGGCATGCAACCAGCAGACTGTGACCAAGGCAGATTTCTCTGCAACTTTGTCAAAATTCTTCAGACAACTCGTATCCTTAATGCAGCCATCACTGTCCAGAGCCCAAGAGCTCCAGGCTTCTTCTCCACCTTCTCTAGCGGAGTTGGAAGTGGAGCCACCTTGCTTAAAGGTAGACATTGGAAACTTTTGAAGAAAACCTGGAGGAGGTGTTAGACACGGCCAGAGATTACTTCTTCATCCCAGCCTTTCATACACCTGATGCTATGGTTTAATGCAATATGTTTGCCAATGTAGATATGCAAAAGCTTCAGTAGTCTGTCTTTATTTTTCCCAGTTTTGCCAGGAACAAGTGGAGACCTGCAAGGCTTAATTGTAATTACCAATTCACTCCTCAGACCTCTCCCACCCTTGGAGACAAAAGATATGTTAATGACCATTCACACCTCAAATTCCTCATGTGGACCCCCTGCCAGGTGGCCTTAATGACGCACTCCACCAGACACCTTTCCCATCCTTGGAAACAAAAGAAATGTTAATGAGCAACTCAAGCCTAAGCTAATTTCAACACATACTGCTGTCTCTACTTCTACTCTCTGTATTTCTCTGAAACAGTCTGAAATAGTTAATAATTTACCACTTTTCAGTGCATTCTGGGCATTTGGGAGGTTCTCCTGTGCTTATTTTTAAACAACTCTTCTAAACATAAACGCATTATGCAAATGCTGCTAAACAGGCGTTTTTTTAACCTACGTTTTCCAGCAGTCAGTTTCCATCGTTCAGAAGGGTCCCGTGTACAATGGGGCCTTAAAGTTGTTTAATGCACTTCCAAAAGTCTGCCCTCCAGCTTTTCCTGCTTCTGGAATATCTAGACACCGCCCAAGGAAAGGGTTTTCTTCTGCCAAACAAGCTTCTTTCTCTAAGGTCTCCTTAAAATCCCCCAAAAAAATCCCACTGTGAGATTCTCTGAGAGTCCTAGGTCATGGTTGCCTCATTCTCCTAGATTGTAAGCTCGAAAGAGCAGGGCCCTTGACCCCCTCATGTTTTGCATTGTATTGTATTATTATTGTTCTGTCCCCCATTGTAATGTACAGCGCTGAGCGAACTATTGGCGCTTTATAAATACTGTATAATAATAATATAATAATTCAACGCTGTTTCATTTGCTTGATTCCACTCAAGGTCCCTCCAAAACAACATTCTGTTGGCTTGGAAAAAACCCTTTCCATCTCTTGACTTCTCTATGCTTCTTTCAAGCATGCAAGCAAGGAACTCCCTAGCTAGGTGGATTACCAATCCAGCTCCCCATAAACACTCTAGGGCTCAGAGCTCAGAGTTTCTGCACCACTGGACCCCCTTTCTCCAGGGACACCCAGTCAGCTGGCAATAACTCAATCCCACAGCAGTGGCCTATATAAATCAACAAAGTGGAATCAGTTTAGCGATTGTCTCTTGTAAGGAGCCCTTCCTAATCCTTCACAAGGAAAAAGTAGTCTTCTGCCCCAAACCCACTTTTCTCCCTAAAAATTGTATCAATCTTTCACCCTAATGAAGATCTACCTTCCTTGTGGTCTGCTCTCAAATTTTTTACCAAGATTGTTAGCTAGAGACGGACCCCTCAAAATGGGAACGAATGGTAACCTTACTGTGGACATTTACTGGTCAAATTTTGTGTGTAATCATTTTATACAATTGGCAGATAGTTATTTGGGAGTCAATTCCGTATATAATATCGGTAACATAGAGTTGGTGTATAAAGTATAGTGCTGTCATGTAATACTTAGGTTACATTGGTGTGCGGAAGATGTGAATATTTATATTTGGAACATGCAGACGCAACTCTGCTGTTGTGTGATATCCTCTTCTCTTCTGTTCATAAATCTAAGTTGGTCACTGCCAGGCTGGATACACTCCAGATGATTTTCTCTTAAAGGGTAAGGTAGTTTTCAAGGTCACAAGACAACATAGAGAACATATTACTAAAGAATACTTCAAGCCAGGAAAGTTGCAGCTGGAGAATACTTACATTCTAAACAATAAGGAAGGGAGGAATAAACTAGCATGAGCATAGATTGAAAACATTTTTTTATTTGTGTGGGTAGGGGAAACCAAATTTGTTGCAGAATTTACCTCCTTTGCAGTCTTGTAGAATGGTTGCCACTGGGACAAAAAGTAAGGCGACATCTGTTTTTAAAGTCCTGGACAGCAGTGAAAACTTGAGGGGTTCTAATCCTTACATACTCTGTCCAAAACTAAGCAAGAAATTATGGCTGGACATGCACTTTAAAGTGCAGGTAAACACACAGGCTGCTAGTTAAAAACCCATCCTTTACAGTTTTCATTTCACCTTTACAGTAGAATAGTTATCCCACAAATACATGAAAAACCACTTTTAAATCCAGTAATTTATGAGCTCACCTGTAACTGCTTTCTGCCCTCTGTGATCTGAGCACTGAGGGTGGAAGCTCAGAGCCTAGTCTTGATGATCTGCTTTTGCAGGTCTGCTGAGGGAACAGATGACAGTGAGGCTCTGTGAAAGAGCCTCTGTCAATCGCTCTGATCCACCCTGTGAGGTGCTGCTTGTGATGGAGTCCAAAATATATATAAAAGGCACACGCTGTTATTACATTTTATTTGAGAGACTGTTATGTATTTTTAAATGTTTTTATCGCCTAGATGAATACCACAAAATAATAATTTTTTTTTTAAATATTCATTTGTAGGCTATCTGTACAGATGGTCGACTTTTCAACCATTTGGAGACCATTTGGCGTTTTAGTCCTGGCATCCCTGGCTATCCTCGTACCTGCACTGTAGACTTTTCGGTATGTTATATTTCATATATCCAGCCTTATTAAATTGTACAACACTGTTTTCAAAGAAATTTTATTTAAGAATAAATCTAAGCAGCCAGTCTAATTGTTGTAATATAGTCACAATTTGCATTTATTGTTTTCTGATAAGCCTTCAAAACATTGCACCCACAATCAGTAGATTGCAGGTGTAATGTTAGGCTAATGAAGACACTTCCCATATGGGGAAAAGCTGAAGGAAATGTCAATGCACTACGAATGTTCTCATCGGCTTCCTCGCAGTTCGCTTAGAACTACAAGCCATCTGCCGCAGTGACAGACGGGACTTGTAGGTCATTCATTCACAGACTGCTATGAATGATGTGAGTGTGTGGGTGGAGCCCAGTAAAGCTGTAAAGGAGAGGATCCCTCGCCCACTGTCATGGGGGATTCAGAGGGGCAGAATATGGGTGTCATGTATATAAGTGGAGCCTGCGCAGTGGACTGTGGTAAACATGACAAATAAATGTATTGGCTGCTGCTAGCAATATAATAAATGTGTATGTGCAAACAAATGTGTAAACTAGACCATAAATGAAATCTGCGCTGCCTCTGGTGAAAAACCACACTGCAGTCAAAAAATACACTACAATCAAATAGGTGTAAGATGTTCAATGAAGTGAAAAAATGTTTATTAGTGAAATAATGTGCAACTCTTGTGCCAATCCTAGCCAATGTAAATATATAGCATTCAAATGTTATACCATAAACAAACATGTACACAGTGCATTAGATATGCAAATACTAAAGTCCCAATCCTCTGCTAACCACATCAGATATGAAAGTCCCAATGTGATTCACTTCCCCATCGGCATCCAATGTGAAAAGGGTGAAATAGTGATCAAGGAGCGTGTGTAACATTTTTAGAAAGATGGTTGTCTCTTCTCTACTTAGAAAAGCTTTAAAACCCAATAAAATATTACAAAAATTACACTGCTCAGCAATTTTAAAAGAGCAGCCTTTCATGCAATACTCCTTGCAGACATACCCCTCTGCAGCCAAGGGTCAGTTTTCGAGTGGGTTGAATGAATCCCTCATTCAGCCAACTTGTGAATCTAGGACATGCCTCAGGGGGGCGCAATCAAACGGACTCTGGTTTACAGGAAATTGCTGCTGGAACCAGTGTTCATATGGCTACATGAGCATGTTCTCATTCAGGACTGTCCACTGCTGGAGAAAGAAGACCTGTGATGATATGCGACCAGACCAAGTACCCATCAGAAAAAAGGTGCATGAACAGAGAATTAGAAAAACAGAACTGGAAGGCAAAAGTTTGAAATTAGCCAAAATTGGGCCTTAAAATGGGCCTTTCCCCCTTTTTACTAAAAATCACATTGGCAAACTCTTCTGTATGATGATGTGAAATCATCTTGCATTCATTAGTTAGCCACTTGCCCTTTAGAGGATTTATCTCCCCCCCCCCCTTCCTGACCAGGCCATTTTTGTGATATGGCACTGCGTTACTTTAACTGACAATTGCGCGGTCATGCAACGCTGCACCCAAATGAAATTTACATCCCTGTTTTCCCCACATATAGAGCTTAGTGAAAATGGCCACCATAAGAAGAATGGAGTGGATAATTACAAAAGCAAAATGTGCAAAAAGCCCCCAATTATCTATAAGTGTCTGTTTGTACATCACCATTACTAAACCTTTCCAAAGGTGCTTTTGTTGTAATTTTATTTTTAAATGGATGATGTTTCTGTTTGGCCAAAGGCAGCATGCTTGGAACTTCAGCTCTGTTGCCCAGGGTGAAGACTACTGCTTCCACTACATTTTTAATGTACATTTCCAACCCTGATCTTACTATCGGTTAGTAAGATCATTGGTGGTCAACTTTCTTTATATGGGGGCCTCAAGTGCTACCCGCGACATCACCAAAGGACCACACATAACATTCACTGAACATAATATTAAAGAAAAAGGTCATACTGCTGATATGCAACAAGAGATGTTCAAAGCGTACAAACATGCTGGAGGAGGTGGTCAGAAGCTGCATTAATGCTGTAAAGTGGTTGGAGACTGGAGGCAAGTTTCAGGAAACTGCCATAGACTAGAGACACATTACTTTAAACTGCTAGCAAACTGTGCTCTTATAGCCCCTTACAAACCCATGCAGTCACATTTTTGCTTCCTATAGCACAATTAAATATCTCTTGTGCCACAGCAAAATCTATTATAAAAGATCAGAGAAAAAAAGAAACCTAAGAAGAGGTGTGATATAGAAAATTAAGAGTGTGAAATAAATCATTAAAAACAAAACTTTTAGAACCAAGCCTAATGGCCTATTCGTCTGTTTCCCAACAAAGTGTAAAGGCCCATTCACACTCAAGAACAAGATAGAGAGAAAACAGGTGGCGCACACACCTAGTGCATTATCCAAGGTTTATTGTAGGAATTAAATCATAAAAACATACTCACAGACGAAGCATGTATCTAAAAAAGCATAGAAAAATGACAATGGCCACAACGGCGGGCAAGGTGTTCTCACTGTCAGTGCGGTCAAATGGCTGACGTGTTTCAGGGACGAATCCCTTTCCTCAAGCTGATGACCAACCTCTGATGCTGATGCACGATGAATGGAAAGTAAACTAAGAGCCCTGCTGTTGAGGCATCATTAAAGCACGCCGCCACGCGTTCTCTGGAGTAACTCTTCTCTGTCTGGCAATCTGATGGACATGTCTGGGTTTGGCAGTCGCCAGGAGACTGGTACTTGTCTGACTGCATTGTGCCAAGTGTCAAGTTTGGTGGAGGGGGGATTACGATGTGGGGTTGTTTTTCAGGGATTGGGCTTGGCCCCCTTTAGTTTCAGTGAAAGAAACTTTTATGGTGTCAGCATACCAAGACATTTTGGACAATTTCATACTCCCAACTTTGTGGGAACAGTTTTGGGGATGGCCTCTTCCTGTTCCAACATGACTGCGCACAAGTGCACAAAGCAAGGTCCATAAAGACATGGATGAGTGAGTTTGGGGTGGAGGAACTTGACTGGCCTGCACAGAGTCCTGACCTCAACACGATAGAACACCTTTGGGATAATTAGAATGGAGACTGCGAGCCAGACCTTCTCGTCCGACATCAGTGCCTGACCTCACAAATGCTCTTCTGGAAGAATGGTCAAACATTCCCATAGACACTCCTAAACGTTGTGGACAGCCTTCTCAGAAGAGTTGAAGCTGTTATAGCTGCAAAGGGTGGGCCAACTCAATATTGAACCCTACGGACTAAGACTGGGATGCCATTAATGTTCATATGCGTGTAAAGGCAGGCGTCCCAATACTTTTGGCAATATAGTGTATGTCTAGCAAGACAGGAGGATGTTAGTTACATGGCATAGGCTTCATGAAGCAGAACCGCCCTGCGCATGTGAGAGGAACAGGGTGCAATTTGGCTGTATTTGATTACAGAGAAATCGGACTAAATGATAAATATAGAAAATAACTCTGTTTTTGAGTATTTTCTGGATAGCATTAGCAGTTTAGCAGATTAGTGTCGCGTATCTCGTGGAATATCTCTTTATTGCTGACCATGTTTTATGCTAGTAGCTTCTGCAAGTGATGCAGTAAGTATAAACTCTGTTTGTGATGGCTTGGAATAGGTTTTGTACCGCTTATGTCATTGTCAGTGGTCTTACGGTGTTGGAATGTTTGTGGTTTAAGCACTTGATGAGACAAAAAAAACAGACTTTCTTCAATTGTAAGAGAAAAGCTTTTAAATGTTTGCAGTTATAGACAGAAAGATCTACCTGTGCATGATTGCCTGTTTCTTTTACTTGTAATGTATTTTTTCCGGACAGTGTTTTGGTAGCATTACGTTTTCATTTAATACTTATAAATCACTGTAAAAAAAATTGATGTCAGATATTGGGCATATGGGCAACAAAATAAAACGGTGCTTTTTCACTATGTATCAAGTGTCTCATGGCACCTTGTGTTTGCGAAAGTGTATTTGAAGCTTTTGCTTCAGACTGCATCTGGTTCTGATAAGCATGGACTGCAACGTGGGTCTGTGTTGATGCTTTCCACATGAGCATCTGCTTCCAGCTCTTTTCTTCTAAACCTACATTGTAGTGAATGTTTATATATGAAAATAGCGCAACGCCCAATTTAAATCCACTTTTTTTTTTTTAACAATACTTGAGTTGATTACTTTATGGTTGCTTGTATCTTGCGCATGTTCATAATTTATCCTTTTTTTATTTTTGTTACTCTGCTATATCCTTGACCTCTTTTTCTTTAAACCTTCCAGATATCCTTTGAATTTCGTTCTTTGCTGCATTCCCAGCTGGCCACTGTCTTTTTTGATGAAGTTGTGAAACAGATGGTTGCGGCTTTTGAGAGGCGGGCAGGGAAGACTTATGGTCCAGAAACACCAATACCCCAAGAGCTCATGTTTCATGAAATTCATCAAACGTGATGACCACATACTGGCTACGCTGCAAAGGAAGAGACCGTGATAGGACGTCTAAGCCAGCCAACTCAAAGTCCACATATAGTATACTGAACATGAGTCTCAAAACTTTGTGCACTCACTGGGATTTAAGAGCTCAGAACCACACCTAGGTTTATTTTTGTTGTTGTTTTTGTTTTTTTGTTTTCTAAAAAAACAAATATTTATTTAATTTCACATCTGATAGTGCTGAATAATATATGTATAAGTTATCATCTGTGTCCAGTGGAAGGAGTGAGGTGAGCATGCTGCAGCTGTGGAGGGTGTTTTATGTGTGTGTTTTTTTACTTTTTAAATCTCGAGTATATCTGAAGAGAGGGGGCTATTTAGTTCTTGGTGAAAGGACTTTTATCTTTATATGCAAGAATAGCACACTTTAGGAGAGCGGGGCTATGTGCACGCTATGGTAGACATTTTTTTCTTTAACTGCAGTGCAGCAATCAGAGGTTTATCTGTTATGTGCACTGTTACTAGCCTTAATCTTTTTGGTCACATAGCACCTCTATCTGTTTCACTGCATATAATAAGATTTTATTAAATTGTTTCTCTCCCAGCCCCCTGAATACTGAGATTAAAAAAAAAGTAAAGCTAGTGACTTTATGGAATCTACAATCTTTCAGCTAATCTACAATAGTTCTTAGTAAACTTGCATACTTTTTCATGAACGAGTACACTCGGAATGCCCTAAACTACTTTGATTGGGTTGTCTTGAAAGGATATATATTCATGATAGCCGTACTTTACAGTGGATACAAACTACAGTAACACAGGGCTCTAATACACTGTGACAGGTATTTCCCCTGCCAGTGTGTGACACAAAGCAATCTATGCAATAGGGTGCTATAACAGCAGGATAACTCATGCTGGGAGACATAGGAGCCTTTGTGCCAAATGGACCTTTGCAGCTATGGTGCTGGATTTGGGGCTAGATGAAAGACTAATAGAGACAGAATGTGCCACACCCCAATACTGTATGCATGGGAGCCTGCAGCTGGAATCCAGTTGGCATTAGGGACTCCAAACTTGCTGCAAAGTGAGTATAATTAAACAAAGGGTTTGGTTCCCTGTGTCTTGAGTGTGATGTGTAGTTGTAATGTTATAAAAGTTAGAGAGTATGATTGTATGCATGCATGCTGAGGTACTGAGATCACATTGGATTAATGGAAACAAAACAGACATTCACCCTGGACCCAAAAGGCACAAATGGAGATTCAAAGCTGTGGGTGATTGTGGCAAAACAGTTTACAATGGAGTGCAATACTGCCCATTCCACTCCTGATGCTGCCTGAACCTAGAGCTTGCAGAATGAAAAATCATCCTGGTAAATGCTTTGGTATGGTTTTTGGTAATGTTCTTCTTCCTGTAAGTTGGCAAGGCTGACTAAGCAACACTGTGGAGAACCTTTATGCAGGCCATAGACGGTTCGTTTATCGGCTGTTTTTCGTCTGAAAGAATAATCGGCCGAATTTCGCACCATTAGTGGGGCAGTGTCATCAGCCGATTTTTGCGGTTCCTCCTCATTTCTTTTATCGGTCATGTTGAAAAACAGCCGATTTTCACAATCATTAGTGTCAACAGAATGACCGATGTTTTCTTTTTCGGCCGATAAATGAACCGTCTGTGGCCTGCATTAAACTCAGTTTTAGAAAGCGGTGACCCTCTGTTGCCTTGTCCTAGGTGCAAGGAGAGAACAGGGACCACTTGTCTTCAATTATTCTGCCTCAAGCCTCTCCCTGATTGTAGCAGAGGTCATGTTTGCTTTTAATGTGATGGTAAAAATAGATCACCGGTCTAGCCATGTCCTTGTGAGACAGGCCGTGTCTTCACCTCCAGCCTACGTGCCATTGTCATTATTCCTGTCATGTTTAGTCATTGGAACATTTGCTTTTCACAGATAGAGCTGTAAAACAAACCAACAACAGGGACAAGCATAAATAAAATGTTTGTAAACATTACATGTGTATGGTGGGGTAACTTGTTTCTTTATGTTAACCAGGTACTTGTTAGGTTTCGGTTCACTCCTGCCCGCACTGTGCATGAGGGTTGCGGGTGCTGGATATGCAGCTGTTCCTGCACCCAGAACCACATTGCGCTGCTCTTAAAGAGACGCACGGTACTGCCATCTATTCTTAATGTCACCCCCACACATCTCAACCCGCAGCGTGTTATGCAATTTCCATGCAGCTGTGTTTTGAAAAAGGTGCATGCAGAAAATGTAGGCTGCACAACCCGCACAAGTGTGAACCTAGACTGACTGAATATGGGTGCGTAACATGCAAATACCCATGTACTGCAGTTTTATAATGTGACCGCCACACACAAGTGTGAATCTTCTCTAAATAGTTTGTTATCACAGCCTGTACCTCTTATAGAGGGTATTCATAGCATAGAGGTTCATAGCATATCAAATCAAAATCAAAAATTGCTGTAGGACCACAGTGATAATTGGTAAATGAAGCAGTACATGCAGTCCTGATGTGGTTTTGTATGGATAACTGTAGAATGGACATTTTAAAACAGAATTGACTACTGTGAAGCTCCTGTTTGGTCAATAATTGCGTCAAGTAACACTATTATTCAAAGCACAACCTTTTCTATATATAGGATTCTTCATATGTTTCGTTTATAAACTACTTTGGTGTTGTTCCAGATTTCACTGTTATCATTTTGTTAGTTTATGATCTAGACCAGGGGTGGGCAAACTTTTTGACTTGAGGGCCGCAATGGGTTCATATATTGGACCCGGGGGCCGGACCAAGAGTAGATGAATGATGTGTATGTGTCATCCATAGTAAGTATAGTAATATTCCCCCATAGTAAGCATAGTAATTAATCCCCCCTATAGTAATTCATCCCCCATAGTATAATTCATCCCCATATTAATTCATCCCTCATTTAGTAAGCCAAGTCCCCCCTGTGTCAATTCACTTACCTTTGCTCCGCGCGTTCCTCTCGCCGTGTTCCCGCACCGTTCCGGTCTTCAGGGCGGACTGTGAGAGGAGCCTAGCTCCCCTCACGCTCGTCACGCTGCCCCGCCTACACACATCCTGACAGCCATCCTCGTATCGCGCTCCACGGGCCGGATTAAAAGGTCCGCCGGGCCGTAGTTTGCCCATTGCTGATCTAGACTATGGACTGTGGCCATTATTGCCATTTGTTCTTTCTATTTTTTTTTGTAGTAATCTTATCTTTATCCCTATAAAACATTTATTCCTTTATCTCTATAAAACATTTAATATAAGTTACATTCTGCCTAGAAATCCCTGCTTGGCTGAATGCTGCAGTTGTAAAGGGCTTATTAGAATATTAGTAAACCTGGGTACACATGGATTGAAATTTGGCCGGTTTAGCTGCTGAATTTTGAAGTAGGTGTATTCCTGCTTGTACAATAGAAGCTGATTGTTAGAGCGGCTTCTGTCGATTTGATCTGCTGGAAATATTTCACTCAATTAGTGGCTGCAATGCTGACCAATATATTCTAACAGAGGAGTGCCTGCTGTCAAATTACAATGTCTGGGATGAGGGGGATTCTTGTATCCACCACTGGCTGAACAAAAATTAAAACAATCTATGGGTGCCCAGTTTTAGTTTTCAGTGGTGGTATTTGTATGTATTGAAGGTCAGCTTTAGCTTAAAAGGGTAAATCTATAGCTCTTGCTATATAGGGGCTCACTACCCTGCTAATGTCACACCAATGGGAGGAGACGGCATGGTAAAATTTATTTATGAAATTGCTGAATGCGATCCTGCACAGGGATCACAGATAGACATTTTATATATACAGTATGTGTATGTGTGTGTGTATGTATAGTATGTATGTATATATGTATATATATGTATATGTATATATGTATATATATATATTTATATACACCTACATACACACCCAATCAGCCATAACTTTATGTCCACTCTCTCAATATTGCATAGATCTCATTTTTGCTGCCAAAATAACCTTGACCCATCAAGGCCTGAATGCCACATACCTCTGAAGGTATGTTGTGGTATCTGGCACCAAGTCATCAGTAGCAGATCTCTAAAGTCCTGCAAATTGAGAGGTGGGGAAAAATGTCCCACAGATGCTCTATGGATTGACATCTGGATAATTTGGAGGCCAAGTCAAACTTGTTGTGTTCCTCAACCCATTATTGAACCATTTTTGCTGTGTGGTAGGGTGCATTATCCTGCTGAGAGAGGCCATTGCCATTAGGGAATACGATTTCCATAAATGGGTGTACTTGGTTGGCAACAATGTTTAGGTAGGTGGTGCATGTCAAAAATAACATCCACATGAATGGCAGGACCCAAGGTTTCCCAGAAGAATATTGCCCAAAGCACCACACTGCCTCTGCTGGCTTGCCTTCTTCCTATACTGCATCCTGGTGCTACTCTTTCCCAGCTAAGCGACACCTCCATATGATGTAAAAGAAAACATGATTCATCAGACCAGGCCGCCTTCTTTCATTGTTCTGTGGTCCAGTTCTAATGATCACGCCCCCATTGTAGTTGCTTTTGGCTGAGGACACGGGTATAGACAGTGCTGCCTAATATATCTCACAGACTTTCAGATACCATTCTAACAATATTCACTTAAAGAATGTTACCCCAACATTGCACATTCCTGATACAGGTCTAAAACACCATGTACGTGTGTGAAAAAAAAGTATCCGTTCTCTTTTATATTGCTTCATTTGTGTGAAATATCTGGTATCCTGCTAGTCCCTCTGGTTTCCTTTTGAAAACTGACCACACCAGGCAGGACAGCACAGAGTGATTAGTACTCCTAGCTGTGCTGGAACTTGGTCTTCTCTCCTCCAATGATCAGGCTTGTGCTAACCTGCTTCCCTGCACAGCTGTTCACTGGGAAGACCAGTCTTCTGCTGTTTCTCCTCCCTGAGCTCCTTATGCAGCTGAGAGTAGAGGTTATGTGATCATTTAAAAAAAAAACTTTTTCCTCCTTTTTGTAA